CAACAGACACATGAAAAAATGCTCATCATCACCAGCCATCAGAGAAATGCAAATCAAAACTACAATGAGATACCATCTACACCAGGTAGAATAGCGATCATGAAAAAGTCAGAAACAACAGGTGCTGGAGAGGATGTGGAGAAATAGGAACACTTTTACACTCTTATTGGATTGTAAATAATATCATTATGGAAAACAATGTAGCGATTCCTCAAGGATCAGACTAGATGTACCATATGACCAACTTCATCCATTACTGGGTATACCCAAGGATTATAAATTATGCTGCTATAAGGAACACATGCACACGTATATTTATTTACTGACACTATTCTAATAGCAAAGACTTACGGAATCTGGCAAATGTCCATCAGTGACAGACTGGATTAAGAAAATGTGGCACATATACACCCATGGAATACTATGCAGCCCATAAAAAGGATGAGTTTGTGTCTTTGTAGGGACATGGATGCAGCCAGCGCTCTCCATCTTAACAAATATCATAGACAAATACAGCCACGCATGTTCTCACTCATAGGTGGGAACTGAACAATGTAAGGATCACTTGGACTCGAGAGAGAGACATCACACACGGGGCTATCATGCAGGAGGAGGGAGAGGTTGCACTGAGTTATACCTGATGTAAATGACGAGTTGATGGGTGCAGCACACCAGCATGGCACAAGTATACATATGTAACAAACCTGCACGTTATGCACATGTACCCTACAACTTAAAGTATAATAATAATAAATAAATTTTTTAAAAATTTAACTTTTATTATTCTTTACTATGGTATGTGTATTAAAGAATACAATGACTAGCAGTGCAATTTAGTGTTACTGTCTTGTTCATGCTAATGTGCAGCCACTTTGGATAACATTGCTTTTGAAACATGACTACAAATGTCAACACTATAATGAAAGTGTCAATTATATCTTAGCATTGTTATCAAATAATTTTTGACTTCATGGACCCTTGGATGAATTCTAGGATTAACCTTAGATGTTGATATTTTCACTTTCCTTTATAATAATCAACATCTTAACTGAATATATTATTACTTATATATGCTGTGTATGATATATTTCAACATTTAAAATGTAATGCAAGGTCACTGTGTATGAGTTTATACAACACACAGATAAATATAGGAAAAAGTCATTTTAACACACAACCCCATGTGAACATCTGAACTGGCAAAGAGAACTGCCTGGAGAGTTAGCAGACACAGGGCTATGTTCTTATGGAGTCAGGGTTTGTGTAGAAATGACTTTGCAATGGAAACACAGTCATGGCTGCCAACTCCCCAGGGTGCCATATTCCTCCAGGCTACTCTAGCCTTTGTTAGAACTGAAAAGAACATGGCTGTGTTGCCTGTAGGACAGTTGAGTCTGATCTAAAACTCCTGTCTGCCAGCCTTCTGCCAGGGTCCTGCCTAGCTACACCCACTTGCGATTACAGCCTCCACTGTTTACCAGCATCCACTGCCATCGATCCCTCAGTGGCAAGCCCTGCTTAACTGTTGGAGTGCTTTTGCAGACAGACTTCAGCAGCACATGACCACCACAGCTTTCCCTTGTGGGTGTATGCTCCCACAGCCTCCCTCATCACCCTGCCAGCATGCACATGCAGTATGGAAAAGAAACACCACCCTGCTGGCATGAGCAAGCTTTGGGACCCCTGCTGCTCCACTGATGTGCACCCATGTAGAGGATGACAGCCGTCAGCCCACTGGAGTACCTTTGCTAGCAGTGTCTGTCTGAACAGTGTTGTTGCCCAATGGGCTGGGAACACATTGGCCCCTCCAGGGCAGATATTTAACCCCAAGGGAGCAAGAGAATATTATGGGCTGGGTCCCAGTTCCTTGAGGCTAGAGCATGTAGCCCAGGAGTGCTGAGCTGAGCCTTAGCCCCTGAAAGCATCTGAAAATGATGCCAATCAACTAAACCTAACTTATACCAGTCAAACCTTCAAGAATATCAAAGAAAAAGAAAAGCAAAAGCCTCATCCAAAGGGAGCAACTTCAAAGACTAAGGAACATTGAGTCCACACAGATGAAAAAAGAAAAGAAAGAAATAGTGCAAGAACTCTGGCAACATTAGAAGTTACAGTGTCTTCTTACCTCCAAACAAGCAGCACCAATGGTTCTTAATCAAACTGCTAATATTCAAATTTACACACGTAGAAATTAGAATCCGGATGGCAAGGAAGTTCATCAACATACAAGAGAAAGGTTGAAAAACATAAAGGGACACAGTAAATAGTTCAAGAGTTGATAGATAGCACTAACCATTTTTAAGGAAAATACAAACTGATCTGAAAATCAAAAATTCACTACAGGAAATTCCAAATTTAATTCTGGAAGCATTAATAACAAAGAAAACACCAACATGGCAAGAGTATACATATGTAACAAACCTGCACGTTATGCACATGTACCTAGAACAAAGTATAATAATAAAAAAAAATAAAATAATAAAATAAAATAATAAAATAACAGAACAGACCAACCTGAGGAAAAATATCATGCTCAAACTTCTCCTTTGATTCAACATAGGAGAACAATGGTAAATAATAGAGAAAAAAATGAACAAAAGCTCCAAAAAATGCAGGATTCTGTAAAAGACAGAGACCTCAGACTCAGCTAGCATTCCTGAAAGAGATAGAGAGAGCAAGCAATGTGGAAGAAATATTGGAGTATACTGTGCATAAAAATATCCCCAGTGTTGCTAGAGAGATCAGCATGCAAATATAGGAAATGTGGAGAACTCCTGCAAGACACTACATGGACAACCATGCTAAAAGCTGCAGAGTCATCCAGTTCTTCAGAAGTCAATGTGAAAGAAAAAAATTTAACGGCAGCTAGAGGAGCATATCACCTACAAAGGGAACTCATTAAGGCTAACAGCAGAACTTTCCTTGAAGCCTTATAAGCCAGAAGAGAGTGGAGACCTATAATCAGCATCCCTATACAAAAGAAATTCCAACCATGCATGTCATATTCTGCCAAACTAACTTCATAAATGAAAGAGAAATAAAATCTTTTTCAGACAAGCAAATGCTAACAAAATTTGTTAATATCAGACCTGCCTTGCAAGAGATTCCTTCAAGTGAGTGCTAAATATGGAAATGAAGAGACAGTACCTACAGCCGCAAAAACATACAGAAACAACCACACAGTAAAAGTGAGAGACTTCAACATTCCATTGACAAGTTAAACAGATAATCAAAGCAAAAAACTAACCAAGGTATTCTGGACTAAATCTTGAAATTGATCAGTTAGTTAATAGAATGTCTACAGAATACTCCAACCAACAATTCAATCTTATTTTCTCATCTGTATGTATATATTCTAAAGCTCAATCACATGCTCCACCATAAAACACATCTAAACTAATTTTTAAAAATGTATAATAACAACTATACTCATAGACCACAGTGCAGTAAAATAAAAATCAATACCAAGACAATCTCTCAAAACCACATAGTGCATGGAGAAATTAAACAACATGCTCCTGAATGACTTTTTGGTTAAAATGGAAAGTAGAAGCAGTAATCAAAAAAACTTTTTAAAAAATTAGTGAAATCAGGTCAATACATGCCAGAATCTTGGACTGGGAAAACCTGTTAAGAGAGAGAGAGTGGGAGTAGTGAACACACTGCATCCAAAGTCTAGAAAAATCTCAAATTAATACCTAACATGCACCTGGTGGAACAGAGAAGCAAGAGACTCTAAAGTTACTATTTAAAAAACTAAAATTAAAGAAGAGCTGAACAAAATCTAGATTGCAAAATCATACAAAAACCAAAAAAAAAAAAAAACACACAAAAGGTGAATCATTGGAAGAATCAACAAGGCTAAAATACTAGGATATATTAGCAAAAAAAAAAAAAAAAAAAAAAGAGAGAGAGGGATCCAAATAGCACAAGTAGAAGTGATGAAGATTATGTTGCATGTGACCACACAGAAACACAAAAAAATCCATGAGACTATTACCATTACCTCTCTGCACAACCTAGAAAACCTAGAAGAAATGAATACATTCCTGAAACTCACAATCTCCAAGATTGAACCAGAAAGAAACCAAAACCCTGAAAGAGATATAATGCATTCCAAAATTAAATCAGTAATTTAAAAACTACCAAGAAAAAAGCCCTGCACCAAACAGTTCATGGCCAAATTCTGCCAGATGTACAAAAGCGTCCAATTACCCATACTACTTAAATTATTCCAAAAAGTCAAGAAGGAGGGACTCTTCGTTAACTCATTCTGTGAAGCATGAATCATTCTGACACCGAAGCCCACCAATACAAACAAAACAAAAAACAAAACAAAGCAAAAAAACCTACAGGCCGACATCTATGATGAACATAAATGCAAAAATCCTCAACAACATACTAGCAAATGAAATTCTGAAGCATATAAAAAAATTAATGTTTTATTTCTGTGGTGCAGAAATTGCTCAACATATGCAAATCAATGAATGTGATTAATCATAAACAGTTTTCCTTTAAAATATATGTGAGCTATCTGCGCACCCAGCGTGGAAGCTCCTCAGCATCGTTTCCTTTTCCTCCGCTGGAGCAGCTGTTGGTGGCAGTGAAAACCCTGAGCGCAAGACCAAGGTGACGAGCGCAGGCGCGGTTGGCAGCGGAGTCAACATCAGTGCTGCGCGGGGTCTGCAGGACGTGCTCGCAGGACCAGCCTGGTTAGGGCACCGTGAAGATGCTCGTTTCTGGCGCTGGAGACATCAGACTTACTAAAGATGGCAATGTGCTGCTTCACGAAATGCAAGTTCAACATCCAACAGCTTCATGTACTTAAAGGTAGCAACAGGCCAGGATATGATATAACTGGTGATGCTACGGCACAATGTGCTAATCATTGGAGAGCTACTGAAACAGGCGGATCTCTGCATTTCTGAAGGCCTTCATGCCTGAATAATCGCTGAAGAATTTGAGCTGCAAGAAAAAGACCCTTCAGTTTTGGAAGAGAAGTCAAGTAAGCAGAGATGGACAGGGGCTTACTTACAGATACTGGCAGAACATCTCTTCCTACTAAAGTTCATGCTGAACTTGTAGATGTCTTAACAGAGGCTGTAGTGGACTCCATTTGCCCATTAAAAATAAGATGAAGACCTATTGATCTCTTCATAGATTCGAGATCATGGAGATGAAACATAAATCTGAAACTGATACAGAAGCTTAATCAGAGGGCTTGTTTTGGACCACGAGACACAGCATCCTCATATGAAGAAAAGGGTGGAAGATGAATACGTCCTCACCTGTAACATATATTCTAATTATGAAACAGAAGTGAATTATGGCTCTTTTTTTTACAAAAGTGCAGAAGAGAGAGAAAAACTCAAGAAAGCTTAAAGAAAATTCATTGAAGATAGAGTTAAAAAAAAAAAGAACTGAAAAGGAAGTCTGTGGTGATTCCAGATAAAGGATTTGTTATTATTAAATAAAGGAGATTGACCTCTTTTCCTTAGATACTCTTTCAAAAAGAAGGCATAGAGGCAGACAGATGGCTGAATAAAGGAACAAGCATTCCCAGCTTAACGTCTGAGTGACTAGAAGAGAGGCTAGTTCAGGCACAAACTAGGTGCTAGGTTTATCTCACTAGAGTGCCTGACAATCAAGCTGGTAAACTGCTGCAGCTGGACCAGCGAACGCTGAAGCAGGGGAGGCATGCCATCACCTGGAAAGCCTGAAGGGGGAAGGAATCCCTTTTCCTAGCCAGGGAGACTGAGACACACAACACCTGGAAAATCAGGTACTCCCACCCCAATACTGCCACTCTACCAAGGATCTTAGCAAGCGGGCACACCAGGAGATTATATCTCACACCTGGCCAGGAGGGTCCCACGCCCACGGAGCCTCCTCATTTGCTAGCACAGCAGTCTGCCATCTAACCACAAGGCAGCAGGAGGCTGGGAGGCTGACCTTACTCATTCTGAAACTCCCAAAATGATAAACTCAAAGCTACTGGGAAGCGCTCGAACTGGGTGATCACAGCAGCAGCTCAAAGGGCCCTACCTCTCTCTGTAGACTCCACACACTCTGGGGACAGGCACAGCTAAACAACAGCAATATAAACAAAAACAGCTGCCTCTGCAGACATAAACGATTCTGTCTGACAGCTTTGAAGAAGGCAGTGGATCTCCCAACACAGAGGCTGAGATCTGAGGAACGGACAGACTACTACTACTCCAAGAATACAGTCCTGACCTGAGTAGCCTAACTGGGAGACATCCCCCACTAGAGGCAGACCAACACCCTATACCTCACACTGTACAGTACCACCCCTGAGAGAAGTTTCCATAGCAAGAACCAGACAGGTACACTCGCTGTTCAGCAATATTCTATCTTCTGCAGCCTCTGCTACTGACACCCAATTAAACAGGGTCTGGAGTGGACCTAAAGCAATCTCAACAGACTGGCTGAGGGGTCCTGTTAGAGAAAACTATCAAACAGAAGGACACCCACACAAAGCTACATCAGTACATCACCGTATCAAGACCAGAGGCAGATAATACAAATATGGGGAAAAAGCAGGGCAGAAAAGCTGGAAACTCAAGGAAGCTAAGAGTGCATCGCCTGCAAAGAAATGCAGCTCATCGCCACAACAGATCAAAGCTAGACGGAGAATGACTTTGTGAGATGAGAAGAGAAGAAGGCTTTAAGTCCATCAAAATTCTCAGAGCTAAAGGAGAAATTTACATACCCACCACAAAGAAACTAAAAATCTTGAAAAAAAAGTGGAAGAATTGATAACTAGAATAATTAATGCAGAGAAGGCTGTAACGAATGGACAGAGATGAAAGCCATGACACAAGAATAAGTGACAAATGCACAAGCTTCTGTAACTGACTCGATCAACTGGAAGAAAGAGTATCAGCGATAGAGGATCAAATGAAAGAAATGAAGCGAGAAGAGAAATCTAAAGAAAAAAGAAGAAAAGAAATGAACAAAGCCTGCAAGAAGTATGGGATTATGTAAAAAGACCAAATCTACGTCTGATTAGAGTGCCTGAAAGTGAGGGGAGAGTGGAACCAGGTTGGAAAACACTCTGCAGGATATCATCCAGGAGAACTTCCCCAACCTAGTAGGGAAGGCAAACATTCAAATTCCAGGGAAATACAAGAGAACATACAAAGATACTCCTGTGAAGAAGAGCAACTCCAAGACACATAAATACCAGATACCAAGAAGGAGTTGAAATGAAAAAAAATCTGAGGAGCAGCCAGAGAAAAGGTCAGGTTACCCACAAAGGGAAGCCCATCAGACTAACAGCAAGATCTCTCAGCAGAAACTCTACAAGCCAGAGAGAGGTAGAGGCCAATATTCCAGCATTCTTAAAGAAAAGAATTTTAAACCCAAATTTCTCAATGACTGGATTTTGTAAGTGAAGGAAAATAAAATCCTTTTACCATGATCAGCAAATGTCTTGAGATTTTGTCACCACTAGGCCTGCCTTACAAAGAGACCCTGAAGGAAGCACTAAACATGGGAAAGGAACAAACAGACACCAGCCATTGCAAAAACATGCCAAAATGTAAAGACCATCGAGGCTAGGAAGAAACTGCATAAAACAAACTATCCTTAAAATAACCAGTTAATATCCTGTGACAGGATCTCAAGTTCCACCTGTATGTCATCTTTAAATGTAAATGGACTAAATGCTCAATTAAGGCACTGACTGGCAAACTGGATAGAGTCAAGACCCTCAGTTTGTATTGAAACCATCACATGCAGAGACATACATAGGCTCAAAATAAAGAGGATAAGAGGGAAGTCTGCCAAGCAAATGAGAACAAAAAAAGCAGGGAGTTACTAATCTCTATGATAAAACAGACTTTAAACCATCAAAGATCAAAAAAGACAAAGAAGGCCATTACATAATGGTAAAGGGATCAATTCAACAGGAAGAGCTAACTATCCTAAATATATATGCACCCAACCATTTACACACACAGATTCATAAAGCAAGTCCTTAGAGACTTACAAAGAGACTTAGACTCCCATACAACAATAATGGGAGACTTCAACACTTTCCCACTGTCAACATTAGATCAACGAGACAGAAAGTTAACAAGGATATCCAGGAATTGAACTCAACTCTGCAGCAAGCAGATCTGAACATCTACAGAATTCTCACCCCCAAATCAATAGAATATACATTCTACTCAGCACCACATCACACTTATTCCAAAATTGACCACATAATTCTGGAGTAAGCACTCTCCCTCAACAAATGTACAAGAACAGAAATTAAAACAAACTGTCTCTCAGAAAACAGTGCAATCAAACTAGAACTCACAGGACTAAGAAACTCACCACAGCAAAACCGCTTAACCATGGAAACTGAACAACAACCTGCTCTAGTGACTTCCACAGGTACAACGAAATGAAGGCAGAAATAAAGATGTTCTTTGAAACCAATGAGAACAAAGATACAACATACGAGAATTTCTGGGACACATTTAAAGCAGTGTGTAGAGAGACATTTAGAGCACCAAATGCCCACAAGAGAAAGCTGGAAAGATCTAAAATTGACACTCTAACATATGATTAAAGAACTAGAGAAGCAAGAACAACACATTCAAAAGCTAGCAGAGGCAAGAAATAACTAAGATCAGTAGACTAGAGGAGACAGAGACACAAAACACTCTCCAAAATATCAATGAATCGAGTTGGTTTTTTGAAAACATCCATCAAATTATTGACTGCTAGCAAGACTAATAAAAAGAAAAGAAAGAATGGGAAATAGATGCAATGAAATGATAAGGGATATCACCACCGACCCCACGGAGAAGAGCAAACTACCATCAGAGAATACTATAAACACCTCTACGCAAATAAACTGGAAAATCTAGAAGAAATGGATAATTTCTGAACACTTACACTCTCCCAAGGCTAAACCAGGAAGGGCCACAGTTTACAGGGCTTAATGGCTGCAGTGAGGCAATAATTAATAGCCTACCAACCAAAAAAAGTCCAGGACCAGATGGATTCACAGCTGAATTCTACCAGAGGTACAAGGAGTAGCTAGTACCATTCCTTCTGAAACTATTGCAGTCAATGAAAAAGAGGAATCCTCCTAACTGCCACTCATTTTATGAGGCCAGCATCATCCTGATGCCAAAAACTGCAACGAGACACAACAAAAAATTTAGACCAATATCCCTGATGAACATCGATACAAAAATCCTCAACAAAATGCTAGCAAATCGGATCCAGCACATCAAAAGCTTATCCACCATGATCAAGTGGGCTTCATCCCTGGGGTGCAAGGCTGGTTCAACATTCGCAAATCAATAAACATAATCCAGCATATAACAGAACCAAAGACAAGAACCACATCATTATCTCAATAGATGCAGAAAAGGCTTTGACAAAATTCAACAGCCCTTCATGCTAAAAACTCTCAATAAATTCAGTATTGATGGGTAATGCCTCAAAATAATAAGAGCTATTTATGACAAACCCACAGCCAATATCATACTGAATGGGCAAAAACTGGAAAAATTCCCTTTGAAAACTGGCACAAGACAGGGATGCCCTCTCTCACCAATCTGTTCAACATAGTGTTGGAAGTTCTGGCTAGGGCAATCAGGCAAGAGAAAGAAATCAAGAATTATTCAGTTAGAAAAGAAAGAGAAGTCAAATTGTCCTGTTTGCAGATGACATGATTTGTATGTTAGAAAACCCCCATTGTCTCAGCCCAAAAATCTCCTTAAGCTGATAAACAACTTCAGCAAGTCTGGGGATACAAAATTAATGTGTAAAAATCACAGAAAGCATTCTTATACATCAGTAACAGACAAACAGAGAGCCAAATCATGAATGAACTTCCATTCACAATTGCTTCAAAGAGAATAAAATACCTAGGAATCAACTTACAAGGGATGTAAAGGACCTCTTCAAGGAGAACTACAAACCACTGCTCAGTGAAATAAAGAGGACACAAACAAATGGAAGAACATACCATGCTCCTTGGATAGGAAACATCAATATCATGAAAGTGGCCATACTGCCCAAGGTAATTTATAGATTCAATGCCACTTCCCCATCAAGCTGCAATGAGTTTCTTTACAGAATTACTGGAAAAAACTGCTTTAAAGTTCATATGGAACCAAAAAAAGGCCCGTATTGCAAGACAATCCCCTAGTCAAAGAACAAAGCTGGAGGCATCACGCTACCTGACTTCAAAACTATACTACAAATTTAGTAACCAAAACAGGCATGTTTGGTACCAAAACAGAGATATAGACCAATGGAACAGAACAGAGTCCTCAGAAATATTACCACGCATCTACAGCCATCTGATCTTTGACAAACCCTAGAAAAACAAGAAATGGGGAAAGGATTTCCCTATTTAATAAATGGTGCTCAAGTCTGGCTAGCCATAGGTAGAAAGCTGAAACTGGATCCTTTCCTTACTCCTTATAAGAAAATTAATTCAAGATGGATTAGAGACTTAAATGTTAGACCTAATACCATAAAAACTCTAGAAGAAAACCTAGAAGTGATAATATTCAGGACATAGGCATGTGCAAGGACTTCATGTCTAAAACACCAAAAGTAACGGCAACAAAAGCCAAAATTGACAAATGGGATCTCATTAAACTAAGAGCTTCTGCACAGCAAAAGGAAACTGCCGACTAGTGTGAAGGCAACCTACAGAATGGGAGAGAAAATTTTATTCTCTACGTGTTCTCTGCCATATGAACCAAAAGGGCTAATATCCCCAACCTACAAAGAACTCAAACAAATTTACAAGAAAAAAACAAACAACCCCATCATCAAGATGGATTAGAGACTTAAATGTTAGACCTAATACCATAAAAACTCTAGAAGAAAACCTAGGTAATACCATTCAGGACATAGGCATGTGCAAGGACTTCAAGTCTAAAACACCAAAAGCAACGGCAACAAAAGCCAAAATTGACAAATGGGATCTCATTAAACTAAAGAGCTTCTGCACAGCAAAAGAAACTACCATTAGAGTGAAGAGGCAACCTACAGAATGGGAGAAAATTTTTGCAATCTACTCATCAGACAAAGGGCTAATATCCACAACCTACAAAGAACTCAAACAAATTTACAAGAAAAAAACAAACAACCCCATCAAAAAGTGGGCAAAGGATATGAACAGACAGTTCTCAAAAGAAGACATTCATACAGCCAACAGACACATGAAAAAATCCTCATCATCACTGGCCATCAGAGAAATGCAAATCAAAACCACAATGAGATACCATCTCACACCAGTTAGAATGGTGATCATGAAAAAGTCAGGAAACAACAGGTGCTGGAGAGGATGTGGAGAAATAGGAACACTTTTACACTGTTGGTGGGATTGTAAACTAGTTCAACCATTATGGAAAACAGTATGGGGATTCCTCAAGGGTCTAGAACCAGAAGTACCATATGACCCAGCCATCCCATTACTGGGTATATACCCAAAGGATTATAAATTATGCTGCTATAAAGTCACATGCACACGGATGTTTATTGTGGCACTATTCACAATAGCAAAGACTTGGAATCAACCCAAATGTCCATCAGTGACAGATTGGATTAAGAAAATGTGGCACATATACACCATGGAATACCATGCAGCCATAAAAAAAAGGATGAGTTTGTGTCCTTTGTAGGGACATGGATGCAGCTGGAAACCATCATTCTTAACAAACTATCACAAGAACAGAAAACCAAACACCGCATGTTCTCACTCATAGGTGGGAACTAAACAATGAGATCACTTGGACTTGGGAAGGGGAACATCACACACCGGGGCCTATCACGGGGAGGGGAGAGGGGGGAGGGATTGCATTGGGAGTTATACCTGATGTAAATGACGAGTTGATGGGTGCTGACGAGTTGATAGGTGCGGCACGCCAACATGGCACAGGTATACATATGTAACAAATCTGCACATTATCCACATGTACCCTAGATCTTAAAGTATAATAAAAAAATAAAATAAAATAAAGATGGCATACTTGCTCTGTGTAGAGCTAAAAGGAGAAATATGGAGAGGCTGACTCTTGCTTGTGGTGGGGTAGCCCTGAATTATTTTGACAACCTAAGTCCTGGCTGCTTGGGACATGCAGGACTTGTATATAAGTATACATTGGAAGAAGAGAAGTTCGCCTTTATTGAGAAATGTAACAACCCTCGTTCTGTCACTTTATTGATCAAAGGACCAAATAAGCACACACTCACTCAGATCAAAGACGCAGTGAGGGATGGCTTGAGGGCTGTCAAAAATGCTATTGATGATGGCTGTGTGGTTGCAGGTGCTGGTGCTGTGGAAGTGGCTATGGCAGAAGCCCTGATTAAATATAAGCCCAGTGTAAATGGCAGGGCACAGCTTGGAGTCCAAGCATTTGCTGATGCGTTGCTCATTATTCCCAAGTTTCTTGCTCAGAACTCTCGTTTTGACCTTCAGGAAACATTAGCTAAAATTCAAGCAGAACATTCAGAATCAGGTCAGCTTGTGGGTGTGGACCTGAACACAGGTGAGCCAATAGTAGCAGCAGAAGTATGCGTATGGGATAACTATTTTGTAAAGAAGCAGCTTCTTCACTCCTGCACTGTGATCGCCACCAACATTCTCTTGGTTGATGAGATCATGAGAGCTGGAATGTCTTCTCTGAAAGGTTGAATTGAAGCTTCCTCTGTATCTGAGTCTTGAAGACTCTGCAAAGTGATCCTGAGGAATACAGCTGTGGAATTCTTGTCCAAGCTTCAAATGGATTTTTACCATATGAAAAAGGAGAGAACGCTGGCATCTGTTGAAATTTGGAAGTTCTGAAATTACAGTGTTTTTTAAAATTGCACTGAAGCGTATACACATAAAGCAGGTCTTTTACCCAGTGAACAGGATATTTTGCCTTAGCAGTAGTGACATAAAATTCCATGTTAGATAAAAAACATACGTACATACATCTATCTATCTATCTATCTATCTATCTATCTATCTATCTATAATGCTATCTCAATGAATGCAGAAAAGACTTTTCATAAAATTCATCATACCTCCTATCTATCTATCTATCATCTATCTATCTATATATATATATATATATATATATAATGCTATCTCAATGAATGCAGAAAAGACTTTTCATAAAATTCATCATACCTCCAATGTTAAAAATCCTCTAAAAACTAGGCACCATGGAACATACCTCAAAATAATAAGAACCATCATTGAAAAAGTAACAGCCAACATTATCCTAAATTGACTAAACCTTGAAGTGTTCCCCTAGAGAACTGGAAAAAGACAAGGGTGCCCACCCTCATCACTCCTATTCAACATAGTGCTAGGAAGTCCTAGCCAGAGCAATTAGGCAAGAATAAGAAAAAAAGGAACCCCAATAAAAGAAAGGAAGTCATTATATTTATCTTTACAGATTATATAGTCTTATATATAGAAAGTCCTAAACACTGTGCCAAAAGACTCCTAGAATTGATAAACTCCTTCATTAGAGTTTCAGGATACAAAATCAATGCACAAAAATCAGTAGCACTTTTAGACGCCAATAACATTCATGCTGACAGTCAAATGAAGAGTAATATATTTATGATAGCCACAAAGAGAATAAAATACCTAGGAATATAGCTAACCAGGGAGTTGAAAGTTTTTGAGTTTGAGAATTATAAAACTTTGCTAAAATAAATCAGAGATGACAACAAAGTAAAACATTCTATGCCCATGAATTTGAAGAATTAATATTGTTAAAATGGCCATACTTCCCAAAGCCATTTACAGATTCCTTGCTATCCCCATCAAACTATCAACGTGATTTATTGCAGAATTAGAAGAATCTATTCTAAAATTCATATGGAACCAAGAAAAGTCCAAATAGCCAAAGCAATTTTAAGCAAAGACAACAAAGCTGGAGGCATCACATTATTCAACTTCAAATTACACTATAAGGCTGCAGTAACCAAGCACTATCATATTGTTACAAAACCAGACACCTAGACCAATGGAACTGGATAGAGAACCCAGAAATAAAGCTTCAAATCTACAAATAACCTGTTCTTCCACAAAATTGACAATAACAAGTAATGGGGAATGAGGTGCCTATCAATAAATGGCGTTTAGATAACTGGCTAGTCATGTGCAAAATACATTTCACCATATTCAAAACTTAACTCAAGATTGATTAAAGACATATGTAAGATTAAACTTATAAACATCCTAGAAGAAAATCTAGAAAACAACATCTGGACATCATCCTTTGGAAGGAATTTATAACTAAGTACCCAAAAGCAATTGCAACAAAAACAAAATTTGACAAGTAAGATATAATTAAGTGAAAGAGCTTTTGCACAGAAAAAGAAACCATCAACAGTGTAAATAGAAAACTTCTAGAATGAGAGAAAATATTTGCAAACTCTGTATCTGACAAAGGCCTAATATACAGTTCTGGGATACATATGCAGAACATGCAGGTTTGTTACATAGGTATACACGTGCCCTGGTGGTTTGCTGCACCCATCAACCCATCATCTACATTAGGTATTTCTCCTAATCCTATCCCTCCCCTAGCCTCCCACCCACCAACAGGCCCCGGTGTGTGATGTTCCTCTCCCTGTGTCCATGTGTTCTCATTGTTCAATTCCCACTTATGAGTGAGAACATGCAGTGTTTAGTTTTCTGTTTTTGTGTTATTTTGCTGAGAATGATGGTTTCCAGCTTCATCCATGTCCCTGCAAAAGACAAGAACTCATCTTTTTTGTGGCTGCATAGTATTCCATGGTGTATATGTGCCACATTTTCTTTATCCCCTGTTCTTAAAATAAAATTTGAAAAAAAATATCAAACTCTAGGGTCAAGAACAAAGAAAGGACCATAAAATCAGTAAGATGAAGCAAATAACTTATGAAGAGCTCTGATAGTCTGGAAGCAAACTTCTCAAAGGAAACCTTACAGACAAGGGGAGAGTGGGATTCTATCTTCAAAATAATGAAGGGAAAAAAAGCTTTGAACTTAGAATATTGTGCCTACCAGAGTTTCCTTCAAACATGAAAAAAAAAAAAAAATGAGTTTTCCAGACAAACAAAAGATGAGGGATTTCATAACCACTAGAACTGTCGTATAAGAAACACTAAAGGGAATTGTGCAATCTGAGAGAAAAGGATGCATTTTATCCAATGGCTGCAAAATACACAACCTTCTCATCGTTTCATGGAACATTCTCCAAGAGAGAACACATATTGGGCTACAAAGCAAGTCTTACAATTTTTTTTAAAAAATAAATATAATAACAAGTGTCTTCTTCTACCTCAATTAAATAATACTGGCAATTGATAACAAGCAGAATTTTGGAGACTAAGCAAATACATGAAAATTAAATAGCATGCTGTGGAGCAAACAATGTGGAGCAAACAATAAGTAAATAAAGAAGTTAAGGAAAAAATCTTAATTTCTTGACAAAAATAAAATGGAAACATATCAAAACCTATGGGATACATTAGTAGTTGTACTAAGAGGAAAGTTTATAGCAATAAATGTATACATCAAAAAAGTAGAAAGACTTTATAAACACATTCTGCACCTTTGAGAACTAGAAAAGCAACAACATGCCAAACCTTAAATTAATAGAAAGAAAGAAAGAAGTTATTATGAACAACTATATGCCAGTAATTTTGAAAAACTAAAAAAAAAAATTATTTACATATATAACCTAACATGAGTGAGCCATGGAAAAATAAAAAATCTTAGCAAACTAATTATGAGTAATGAGACAGAAGCAGTAACCTGATGGTTTCACTGCTGAATTCTATCAAATATTTAAGAAAGAACTAATTATAATACTACTCAAATTATCCAAAAAATTATGCAGAAGGGAGGGAGAGACTGGATAAAGAAAATGTGGTACATATACACCATGGAATACTATGCAGCCATAAAAAGGAACAAGATCATGTCCGTTGCAGGAACATGGATGAAGCTGGAAGCCATCATCCTCAGCAAACTTACACAGGGACAGAAAACCAAGCACTGCATGTTCTTACTCATAAGTGGGAGTTGAACAATGAGAACACATGGACACAGGGAGGGGAACAACACACACTGGGGCTACTCGGTGGGTGGGGGTGAGGAGAGGAAGAGCATTAGGAAAAATAGCTAATGCAAGTGGGTCTCAAAACCTAGAAGACAGGTTGATAGGTGCAGCAAACCACCATGGCACACCTATACCTATGTAATAAACCTATAAATTCTGCACTTGTATCCTGGAACTTAAAATAAAATTAAGAAAATTTAAAAACAAGAAAACAATTTTTAGAAATGGTTTATAAATTATCTGATAAAGAATTCAAAATAGCCATCTTAAAAATGCTCAGTAACTAAAAGAGAAAACAGACAAAATGAGAATATCAACAAAGATGAGATCACTTGGACTTGGGAAGGGGAACATCACACACCGGGGCCTATCATGGGGAGGGGGGAGGGGGGAGGGATTGCACCGGGAGTTATACCTGATGTAAATGACGAGTTGATGGGTGCTGACGAGTTGATGGCTGCAGCACACCAACATGGCACAAGTATATATATGTAACAAACCTGCATGTTATGCACATGTACCCTAGAACTCAAAGTAAAAAACAAACAAACAGAAAAAAAAAACCTATTTTAAAAAACTAAGTTCTGAGGCTGAAGAATAGAATAACGGAATTACAAAATTTGGTAGAGGGGTACAAAAGCAGACTAGATCAAGCAGAACAAATAATTAGCAAACCTGAAAATAGGTCATTTAAAATTTTCATCTCAGAGTGGCAAAAAAGAAACAAATGAAAGAAAGTGAAGAGAGTCTAAGAGACTCATGTGACACCATCAACTGGACAAATGTATGCATATGAAGCACCCATAAAAGAGTGAAAGGGAAGAGGAATTATTTGAAGAAAGAAGGCCAAAAACTTCTCAATTTTGAGGAAAGTTACATAAAAATGGGAAAAGCTAAAAAATAAAACTCCAACTAAGATAAACCCAAGCAGACTCATACCAAGACAAATTATAATCAAATAGTCAAAGATCACAGATAAAGAGAGAATCTTATAGGTAGCAGGAGAAAAGCTACTCACTGTGCAGAAAGAAGTTTCCATAAGACTATAACCATATTTCCCAGCAGAAAACTTACAGTACAGAAGGGACTGGAATGATATATTCAAAGGGCAGAGGAAAAAAAAACCCTGAGAAATAACAACACTAGGTTCAGCGAAACAGTTCTTCAAAACTGAAGAAAAAATTAAGATTTTCCAAGATAAACATAAACTGAGGTTTTTCATTCCCTTTACACTTGTCATCAAGAATTGCCAAAGGGAGTCCTTCAAGTTGAAATCAAAAGACACTTGTTAGCAACATAAAACCATAAATAACCAACAAAGATCTCAGGCAGACGTAAATATGCAGACAGATATTAACTCCTGTGATACTATAATATTGGTGTATAAATCACTTCTAATTCTGGCATGAAATGAAAGGACAAAAACATGAAAATAACTATGAATCTATGATACTAGATACACAATATAATTTTGACATCAATAACATAAAGAGGGGCATATATGTACAAGAATAACGTTTTCATATGTGGTTGAAGTTAATTTGTTGCCAGCTAAAATATATATTATTTGGGTCAGGTATGGTTGTCAGGCCCAAATAATGTATAAAACATGTTTTCCAATAAAATTAGAAATCAACAGCAGAAGGGAAACTGGAAAATCCATGAAGACTGGAAATTTAACAATATTCTCAAAACAGCCAACAGGTGAAAGAAGAAATCAGAATGAAAATTAGAAAATACCTTAAGACGAATTAAATTACAACATACCTAAACATATGGGATGCAGCAAAAGCTATATAAACAGGTTGGTATGTAGCAGTAAGCATTTACATTAAAGAAGAAGTAGGAT